TCAGTTTTGTCAAGGGATCTGCGATCATCCGAAGATTATTAATCCAAAAGGGCTTGATGTTCTGATTCTCAAGTGTCTCCCTGGCGATAGAGTAATCGATATGCAACCTTCTCTCAAGAGAAACGGATTGGCTGCAGCACGATCTGCTTATTGCGTCAAAGAAACCTTTTGAGTCAACCACCACTGCTGCTGGTTCTCTTGGAATGCTTTCCCGAAATTTGCGAGGCGTAACCTGGTGCAAGGTTTCAGCTAGCAAGGCTTGGAACAACTCTATGCTGTCTAGGCCATTTTGCCCTGCAAGAGTTTCTGCTGCTACTGAAGATCTTACCACTCTTCGCAACTTTTTGGAACTCCAATCCACGATCCAGCAGGCTGCAGGCTTTTGCTCTAGGAGGTCCTGATGCCCGAGGCACAGAACGTAGCCCCCCTGTGACTCCCCACTTTCTCGGGTTCCCCAACCAGCATCTGTTACACAAACGATGCGCCATTTTGTGATAGGCACATGGCTAGGAAATTTCATCACGAGTTTGTTCTCTTTCATTTCCCGGAGAGTTTTGTTGTACAGTGTCACATGGGCGACCGTTCCCTTTTCTTGTGCCCCTTGCAAATAGGACGCGAGGAATGCTTGGTCCGGGCGCGTATGGTTTGCAACCCAGGCCAACTGGCCGGCACACGTTCTCAAAACGCTCTTGTCGGTCAGCTTTGTTGAAGCAGTGCCTAAGGGCTTAGTCGAGACGGGTCCCAAACTTTCAATATAGGTCTCCTGCCCAACTTCAATGCTATGATCAAGAGGGTTCTGTCTTATTTCAATGCCCGTGTAACGGATGGTATGGGTTCGATAGTCTCCAAAGGGCAACACTTTGCGAAGACGTTTTAACACCTCATCCATTTCCTTTTCACCTCCACCGATGATATCATCCACATGTACCCCACATACACCTTTCAACACCTGTTTGATGTGTAGGGTAAAGAGGCAAGGATCAAGTTGACTTTGAACCAAACCTACGGAAAGCAGTTCGCGTTTCAATCGCAAGAACCAAGCTCTGGGAGCCTCGGCTAGCCCATAAGCTGCTTTCTCTAGGCGTAGGAGGTCCTCTGCACTCAACCCCATCCACTCTCGAATTTCATCGGGTGGTTTGAAGTACACGTCACGGCACTGGGGATCACCTGACAGGAATGCGGTTTTGATGTCTGCTCCCCAAAGTACCCAATGTTGGCTTGCACAAATCGAAAGGATCAAGTTCTTGGACTCTTTTCTAAGCGTAGGGCTGTCAGTTGCAATTTTTTTCCAGCTCAGGGTCCTGCCAACCTACCAACACAAGGCGTGCTTTTGGGGTTTTCTGTTTGACATCGGGATCACTTGATTTCTTCCATGTCAGAACCCAGCGGGCACGGATTATGCGCTCTGGCGGTATTCCTTTGCTGCGGCACACAGAGGTGACTTTGTTCTCAACCCATGAATTCCACTCCTTGTTCATTGCTTTCCTAAAGAGTATTTTGTCTTCTGGATTGAGTCTTCTGTAGGACACTTCTACCTTTCTAAGCTTCGCCTGAGGTGTCGCGGCATTTGCAAAACACTCTTCCAGCACACTCCACAAGCACAGAGGATTATCTGTTATATCTTCAGGCATTATGTCCAATGACACTTCACTAAGAAATGCTTGTTCTTCAAACATGGCTTCTACCTTAAGACAATCTTCATCCTCATCCATGGGTACTGGAGTATCCACGGCTTGCGAAGGCTCAGGCTGGCTCGGCTCGGCTGGATCCACGGAAGATCCATGGGTAGCAAGGTCTGAGGCTGGAGGCAACACATCACTCGTCTCTTGCATCGGCTCTAAGCCGCCCTCCAAACTAGCACTTTGGTTTGGCTGCTCATCAGGGGGGATGACACTTGGTGTGTATTCTTCTTCTTCATCGCCCTCTGGAATAGGCTCAAACAAACGTCTACGGCTGGCTGGTGGCTCCGATGGCTGATTTTCGATGGGATGCTTGCTGCCTCGATCGTGATCGATCTGCATCGGTAAGGGGGTATCACCGCCCTCTCGGTATCGGCTGCCGCGATTTCCTTCGGCTGCACGTTGTTCCCAGTAATTTCCATCCCGGGTGATGCGACGGCGAACCTGTCTACTAGATTCTACGTCTTGTAACTCATCTTCTTCTGCATTAAGTTGAAAGTCATCATCACCCGGCACATCCTGGGTTAGGTCTTGGAATTGGCCCCCAGGTCCACTTAGAAGCTGCCTTGCACTTTCAAGCTCGGGATCAAGGCTCCCTGAATCAAAGCTTTTTGAAAGGGCACGGAATTCTGCTTCGTCTTGTGGTATAGGTCTCAGAGACTCTGGGGAACATCTATACAGGCACCCGTTGTATGAAACCCAAATGACCCTTGGAATAGGTCCTCCACTCAAGGTTTCAGCCCCAATGATTTTCCCTGGCCCCAACCAAACACCATGTCTAGTCGACAAAAGACCTCTTGCTCGTCTCCGGAAAAAGTAAACCATTTGACCGGTAATGTAGGGACCTCTCATGGGACGTGATTTTGCAAGAAGGGCACGGCGCCATATGCTTTTAGCATGCTCCTCATGAAATGCTAGAGCAGCTTGTTCACGTAGATGCACTTTGGCGGCAAACGTAGCGTCGGCCAACACTTGACTTTGTGAAGCCAAGTTTTGTTGCTCACCAAGGTCACTCAGTAAACCTGCATGACGGCTTTCCCTTCCTAGAAACCACTGTGAGGGAGAAAAACCACACTTCCTGAGCTGTTCGTTTCTCGCAGTACAACACGACTCTATGGTTTCTTCGGGTGGCCTTGATGTAGTTCTCCAAACACGGCGGGCCATGTTTCTTAGGATTCGGTTTGCCAGCTCGACTCGGCCAATCTGCCAATGGCTTTCAGTAGCTGTGCTCAACAAGGCAATTGTGTTATGCTCAAGGTAACTCTGAAAGTCATTAGACAACCAGTTTCCATCAGGATCCACATAGACCGATTTAGGAGCCCCATAGGGTCTAATCCAGGCCTGATGAAATGCTTTGGCAGCTTGGCTTGGTCCTGGTGGCACGATCACTTGTTGGCAAAAGTCAGTAGCGAGGTCCACACAAGTCAGCACATTGAATTTTATCTCCACCATTTCACCGGATGAGTTTTCCCTTTTGAGTTCAACCTGTACCATATCTAGGCCTACTATTTCGTTAGGGACATCGGTATGGGAGATGGTGGCTGTGCGTCGGCTGGGTGGCACTTTGAGTTCTTCGCACACTGAGCACTTGAAATCACGAATTGCCTGCACGATCGAATCACTTGCTTTGCATCGGTGTGCCAAGCGTAGCATCTGTTCTACACTGGAATGCCCAGTATTCACATGCAATTTGCTCACTAAGGCTTTATCTCTGCTAGGCACACGGATTTCTGCTTCGGGTTGATCGGGCTGGTCGGGCTGATCGGGGTCGCCCTCTTGGCTTGAATCGGCTTCGTCGTCGGCTGGCTCGCTATCGCTTTCGACTTCGGCTGCCAGCACATCCATAGCACGCACAGGCTGCTCATCACAGGCACGTAGCAAGGCTTCCGTTACCACTTTACAGAACTTGTATGGATAAGTCTCTGCAAGCGCGGTGAGATTGGTTCCCTTAAACTTACCTTCCAAGTGCGCATGCGAAATGCATCCTGGGCAACGGCGCTTCTCTAAGGACTCGGCTAGTCCCCGGCACGAGGTGACAATGCGAGTAGGCTTAAGCACAGGTTTTTGACTTTTTGGACATTTTAAGCCTAAACTGCACTGATCTATTCTCACCTCATACACAGGTCCTAAATGCAACTCTTGCCATGCATCCGAAGTGAGAGGGTTCTCACCATGCGAATGACCTCCCAGGCTCACTTGCAATCTCCAAGCATCTGAAACGGCTTGCAAATATTGGCGTGCAACATCACGTTCCTGTTGGATGGCTTTGCATGTGTCTTGATTTCGTGCCATGTTGAATCGAGACCACGGTCCCCAGCATTTGCACGGCCATGAGAACCACACATGCTTGGGTTCCACACACGAAATCAAGGCAAGTAGCAATCTTCTGTCCTTGGCTTTAGTAAAGTCTTGCCCGTATTTCAAACCAAGTTTGATTGAATTACAGCCGGATCTGTCATGATACAACTTAGCTAACGGCGCCTTCCCTGTGAACACTTCTATCATTCCCACCTCCTGGCTTAAGGCTGGCGCTTGGGGTCCTAGCCACTGGGCAAGCTCAGAGATTGTTTCCTGGGGGTGTTTCACAGCTCTTGAAACCTTCAAGTTTATCGGAAGGGCCTTAACCATGTTCACTTCTTCAAGCAGCAACTGCTTAGTTGAATTTCTGAGGTTCTGAAAGTCTAGTTGTGCCCAATCTACTTCTTCATATAGGGCTTCAATAGCAGTAGTTGCTTCTGGCGTTTCGTTATCGCACATCAGGCTTTCAGGGAATTCCTCAGAAGGGCAACAGAAACAGGTTTCTGCTGTGTGTTGTTCACTTGGCAGTGCGGGCTCTTTATAGCTGGCTACCGGGCGGATCAAAAACAAGGCCAGATCTACAGGCTGAACCTCTCGTCTCGCCATGCCTGCGGTACGGTGTGTCCACAAGATGGGGCTTAGGGTACCATGTTTGTCAAGGCTCAAGATGCAACACTGCACGTCTGTGGTGGCACACAAATTGGGCACTCGCTCTTTGCGGGGCTTGTATGCAGTGAAGGCATGCGACACATGCTTTGCAACTTCTTGGCCGACAAGGACGCCTAGCTCATCCCGATGATCTTCAACAAGGATGATCCCATTTTTGGTGGATTTTACCAAGGCTTGGAAGGCACGTTTCTGATCACACTTGGTGGCAGGTTTGACTTTGGCCCGTCCTGCCTGCACCTCTTCGGCCGTAGGTTCACGTTGCTTGAAGGCAGTGAATCCTCTCCGAGCCGATCCAGGGGTGCTTCTCTTACTTTCTGATGTTGTCCAGGAGTCCCGATGGGTTTGAGCTTGCTCCTCGGGCTCCACAATCTTCTCGTCCGACGGCTCCACGTAGGGCTCGTAGTTGCTATCGTCCATGACCAGAGTCTCGCCTTCACGATGGTTCTGGCGAGGATCACGTCCTGGCTGCCAACTCTGATCCAAGCCTTCATCCAAGAGCGGCATCATCAAATGCCCGTTGGCTGCTTGTTGAAGTGGCACCCGGATCATCCCATGCTTCTTGCTGGTGATGGTGAGGTTGCCCATGTCCAAGGTGGCCTCCATGCCCTGCAACACTTTACGAGACAGCAGGAACGGGGTTTTACCTGGGATCACGTAGGTGGTGATGTAGCCCCACAATGACCCAAGCCTCACCAGCCACTTGAGGCCTTTTGTGGCTCTCTCCGTGTGGCCGTTGAATCCCTTCAGCTCGACTGGAGGCAGACTGACCTCCTGTGGAGCTGGCACTTGCTGACTGATGAAGTGCTTGGTCAGGGCCTCGACGGTGTCCTCTCCAACCACACTGGAAGTGCATCCCGTGTCGATGATGGCACGGCCGATCGGGATCGAGTTGAGCAGCACCTCCATCTCGTCGGTATTCACCATGTAGTTGAACTCGGTGATGAAGGACTCGCCGGCGAGGTGGGCCTCTTCCTTCCGGACAGGCTTCCGGTCAGCGCCTTTCTTTCCTGCGCCTTTTGCCGGTTTCTTGTCGTACTTGAAGACTGGCTTGGCGGACCCATGTGACGGACCGCTGGGATCGCTCTCCTGAAGTGCGACCACCGGCAAGTAGGGCTGCCTAGCTCGCTTGATCTCGCGGACCTTCTTCTTCGACTCCTTGTAGGTCCTGTAGCTCTTCTTGAACTCCTTCTTCGCCTTCTGCTGGACTGCGTAGATCTCGGCCAGCTCTTCTTGCTCCTCGGGGTCCTCCTCGGGGTCGTACTCATCCTGGTAGACCGCATTGACCTCTTCGTCGGAGTCCTCGAAGTCGGGCTCGATGAGTTCGCTAGAGTCGTCGCCGTACTCCATCGCGTAGACCTCCCGCTTGCCCTTGTGGGGCAGCTGTGGACGTTGCTCCGGGCGGCGATCTTCCATGTCTGACGCGCGCATAATGCGCTCCACATCCTGAAACCTGGAGGAACCTCCCGTAGCCCGGATGACCTGAGCGCGCTGCTCCCGACTGAGGCCAAACTTCCGCATGAACAGGTGCCCAAGCACTGATTGCGGGAACACTGGCCTGGGGCGCATAGTAGATCTCTCCAACGTCCCCAACAGTCGCTGCATTCGCGTATCGTCCTTCGCCTCCTTGGGGTCCACCTCATCTTCTTCTCGAGGTCGTCGAACACCACGACCTGAGCTCCGTGTGGATCCGGCAGCAGTACCGGCTCCATCAGCACGATGACTACGGTGGCTCCCGCTTCGCACAGAACCTTCTCGTTCTCCAGGGCTCGCCGAAGGAACCGATGCAGTGTCTGCGGCAGCAGCTGCATCAGGAGTTTCACTTCGGGATCCATCCTCTCCAGATTCCTCCACGCTGGAGTCGTCGAGGGGGTTGGCCTCCTCGTCGACCTTCTTTCGCCTCTTCCGCCTAGAGGTCTCCCGCTCCTGGGCTATGAGCGATTGTACTCTGCTGAGCTGGGTCTTGAACCTCGAGGCGAACGCTGTAGCGCCTTCGTTGTTGCGCTTCTTGAGGAGGAACATGAACTCATCTATCGCCTCGTGTAATTCCGTCTCTGGCAGATACTTGTAGTGCTCGTCCAGGGCCTTCAGCACTCGAAGCCAACCTTCTGTGCTCCGCAACGTTGACACCGTGAGGTGCTCCGTTGCCCGCCAGGCTTCTCCATGCAGACGCTGCAGAAGCCTAGGTCCAGCCAGATGCTGGATCTTGTCCTCCAAGCCGGCCACTCCAAGAATGACCTTCCGCCTGAAGTCCCGATAGCCGGAGGGTCGGCCATCAAAGCTCAGCTCCCTGAAAGGGTCCCGGGCTTCCATACTGCTGTGACCAGCAGCCTACCGCTTTCGCGGTCCTGAGCAGTGCAAACTGCGTGATGGGCTCAATCAGCAGGATCGTGTCCCGCTCCGCTACCATGAAGAACCGTAGGCGCAAAGCACCTCCATTGGTTTTCTCCTTAGCCTTCGATGGCGGTCAAGGGGCCCCTAGTGTACAGCCAGTGGCAGCGGGGAGCACATCTCATGATGCACCATGCTGCATTTTCACAAATAGGAACCCCCTTGCCCATCTTTGGCGCGGCCCGGCGTAGTGCATGCCACCCAAAGACCGCGGTCCCTACTGGACACTAACTCCTAGGGGCCGCAGGTCGGGCAGGACCAACCACGCCGCGGAGCGGTGGCGGTTATTCACAGAGGTGCGACTTGCAGCCCGGGACAGATTGGACATCGATTTGCCGGACGCGCGGCCACCTCGAGATCCTCAACCTGATGTTGCAATTTTTACCAGGTGGCGAGAGGAGGCGGGCAGTTTCGACAGGTGGGAGTTGCTTGTGGGTTTCGACGCAACTTTATATCACCAGGATATTCAGCCGGCTGTTGACGAGATCCTTCACCCAACAACTGGTGCAGCACCATCGTCACTAGCCGCAGCCCAAGGCGCGGCGTCTGACTCTAAGCAATCAGCGCAACAGGCGCCAGCTTCACCTCCATCGCCTTCGGTTCCGACCATCTCAACGGTCAAGTCGGAGCCGCCCGAGGATTCAGAAGATGAAGGCAGTGAAGAAGTTTCTGATGGAGTAACCCGCGACCAAAGCGTATAGCAATATTATGTGCGTCTGTTTCTAAGTTTATATCGCCGTCTTGAGTTTTTTCAATATTCAATTTTTTATCAGTGTTACTTACCTTAAAACCGATAGGCGCACAAGAAGATTTACAATTTCCCTTCTTTTGTGTTTCTGACTCATTTTAAGTTCTAACATCCTTTTACACATCGGACAAGGAAACTCAATAACTGCTGTTTGACTAATACGGACAGAACGAAACACAGGAAACCATACGTGAAATGATGAAACAATAACATATAAAGAATAAATTTAACACCACTTTAAACGCATAAATCAATAGTTAAATAATTAAATATATAAAGGTGTATATATAGAAATGTCAGAAAATGAAAGTTTTACCGTTAATGATTTTATGAAAAGGATTATAATTATTAGTAAGAATGTTAAAGCATTGTCTGAACTTGTTAAGACTGTTGATGATAAATTAAATCAACCAAAAAGCAATAACGAAGACGATAAGGAGAAGATGGATAAAATCTTTGAAAAGAAACAGATAGGTCCGACAGGCAGCTACGACGATAAGAGACAGAAATACTGCGAAATGATGAATAACAATAAAATCAAACAACCAAAACATGAAACTATTGAGTGTTACAAATTGATTGAAAACGAAGAAGGAAAATTCGAATTAGTTTGATAGTTCTAATGGTTAATCTTATTATTAGAATTATCCAGTGCTTTTGTAATTGTTCGTTTCCTTGTTTGTTTCTTTGTTGTTTGTTTGTTGGGTTTCTTTTCGTGAGAGGGTCTGACCGCTAGGCTACTGAATGACAAAATGGTTTAAAGAAAAATGTATATTAATATAGGTATTATGTCTAATCAGTATTGCTCAGATTGTCAGAAAACAAAACATGTGGATTACTTTAAGGAAATTAAAAAGTGATGTGATAAATGCCGTGAGAAAAGGAAAAGGCAACGAGAGAAAAAGACACCAAAAGTGAATGACGATGATGAGCATGTGGAGAAAGTCCGATGTTCCAAATGTGTTAGTATGAAGTTGCCTTACCAGTTTTCTGGCAATAACAAAACATGCAACCCATGTTTAGAAAATAATCGAAGATGGCGAGAAAGAAACCTTGACAAAGCAAGGGAAAGTTGGCAAACATATTATTCTGAAAATAGAGAAGAGATTGCTGAATGGAAAACTGAATACAACAAAACATACTGTAAACTTGAAACCGTGTGTGATCCGTGGAATTGTATTGTTAAGAAATGTAATTGGTCCAGACATTGTAAAAGTGATAAGCGCACGAAGCGCGAAGCACAACGTGCTGAGCACTTGCAAAATTTATGATTTAAGCAGGGTGGTGAAAAAATGTAAATGATGATGCGGGCGGCGCAGAAGGACTAGATTAAGCTATGGGGCAGCACCCACTTGCTGCCCGTGGTGCCCGTGGTGTGGTCCCGTGGTGCGGGCGTACGGCGCCGTGGCGCCGTGGTGCCGTCGTGCTTGTAGTGCCCTCCTGCCGCGCCGTGGCGCCCATGCTGTTCTATTGCTCCCCGTAGCGCTCGTGCTCCCCCATACTGCTCCATAGTACTCCTCGTACTGCTTCCGTAGTGCCCCCCACGTGGCGCTAGCGCTCTCCAGAGTGATAGTTTACAACTCGCGCGTGATCGGGTTCCAACTCTCGTCAGAGCGGCTTCCAACTCTCGTCAGGGCAGTTTCCAACACTCGCGTGCCTGGTTTCCAACTCCCAGTGTCCAACTCCCACCTCGCCCGTTGATCTCCTCCGTAAGAAGATGGATGCCACCGACAAGGAGTTCAACATGACTAGCAGCAGCAACGCTGTTAAGATCCAAGGCCTCCCATTCAGCAAGAATTGGTCATCCAAGATCCGCTCGTCCAAAAGCTTCAGAAGACGATGAAACAGTGCCCACCAGGTACTGAGATTGATCTTTTCCGACAAGATCCAAACGACTGGCGATGTCAAAACATTGCAAAAAGTTGAGACAACTGTGTGTCCCATCCACTCAATACGATCAATGCACTGCATATGTCCACGCAGCCGGTGTCAATATGCCGATCACATCACCTCCGGACGACGCACGCGTTGCCTTTTGGCAACCAGATCAGCTGAAAATAATTTGGTTCATGCCTGCGTCCAAATGCACTTGGGAGCATTTGATCCAAGAACGTGGCACGCAGTTATGTATTCATCCGTTCCCAGCCCTTTCTTAGATGCACCGGCCATCAAGCCGATGCCCATTGTGGCAGATCCAACGGATCCACCGGATGAACCTCAGCAACCTGATGATCAGCAGCCACCAGATCAACCAGACCATCCCACGCCACATCCAAGACCTCGACAGTACTATAGATCCACCTTTGCCGCCTCACGACAAGCCACGCGGGGGTCGTGGGCAAGCCACGCAGAGGTCGTGGGCAAGCAAAAACAATCAATTTCGTCCTCAAGTGGACTCGATCGACTGGGGGGTGATGTCTCTTTGCCGTCTCAGCCGCAGCCATCCCAACCGATTCTTCCGACTGTCGTGGTGCCATCGCCACCAGCAACTTTGAACAATCCCGAGAACGAAGACAATGACGAAGAGCTTGAACTGCCGCATCTTGAGCAAGAAGAGAAAACGACCCCACCATTGCAGAGCAGTCCAGCAAAGAAGCAGAAGACTGGGAACCTTCAAACCGACCTCTCGGCGCGGATTCCCTCATCAGAGACACACCGACAAGAACCACGCAGACGGTAATTTCCTGAAGACCAAGGCTCGCCGAGTCCTCAGAGGATTCCAAGACAAGCACAAGGACGAACAGCGGACAGACAGTCCTGCTGCATCGAGGAGTGGCTTCCGCCTAGCAATCCAAGCAGCCGCAAACAAAGGCTGGAACATCTTTCATATGGATTTGAAGACTGCCTTCCTCCAAGAAGAGGCATACGATCAGAATCGTGACATCATTTGTCAGACCCCTCCTGACATGGGATATCCACCATACATTGAAGCACGCATGAAGAAGCCTGCTTATGGGCTGAACGATGCACCACGCAGATGGTGGAACATCCTCGATTCGGCACTCCGTTCATACGGTCTAGTGCCCACCAGGGCAGACAGATGTACATATGTTTACTACGGTAAGCATCTTTCCAAATCCACACCGATCAGTGAAAAGAAGTCATCCAATGTATTCGATTTAGAAGGTGCAGTTGCTTATCTTACGGATCCAGTTTCCGGAAACAATGCCCAGAATCGACAAGTTTATGGAGCACTTTCTCTTCATGTAGATGATCTTCCTATGACCGGTGACGATGTGTTTGGGAAGGAAATCATGGGACAACCTCGTAAAGATTTTCAAGTTGGTTCCAAATGCAAGAATGATTGCCTTTTCGTTTGACAACGCATCCAGTGGAAGCATGACGACAAGCACGGTTGGTACATCAATGTCCATCAGAATGTTGCCATTGACGAACTTCAGGAGATCACCTTTGACAAGAACTTGAAAGATGACACTCCACTCACACCTCAGATGCATACTGCATACAGAAGCGTCCTAGGTCAGATCAATTGGTTACAGTCGCGGACACAATTCCACTAGTTACCAATTCTCACGATGCGCATCCAGAGTAGCATCTCCAACCATTGCGGACGTTCGCACCATAAACAAAACTGTCAGAACCATCAAACGCATCCCGCTTAGCGTGAGATTCTGGCCACTTCATGGCAAGACTAAGACACGCATTGTCGATTACCCTGATGCATCCTATCGCAACAATGAAGACAAGTCATCCCAACACGCGCATGTTATCTTTCTTGCTGAAGAACGAGACCTTCGTAAGGGTTCATCGAACTCGAGAGGCTCTCTGATCGATTATGAGACGCATAAGATCACCGCTACAACGATGTCCACTACTTTTGCTGAATTGCACGGACTGATGCGTTGTTACGGTTCATCCCTTTTTCTTCGCGGTCTCTGGTCAGACATTACAGGTGAAACGGCAACCTTGTCACAACTGGCTCGACAACCCATCAAGTGAAGGTTGCCTTGCAGATTCTGTGACCAAACATTCAGCCAAAGCAGATGAGCTGATCAAAGCAGTCCTGACCTGCAACCTCCTGAATGTTGACGCGCATCCACCATTTCGTGCTATGTTACAGAACGAGGCATTCCCAGTTGAATGGCTCGCGCGCAACACAGCACACGGACCCGACATCGTTGCGTTCGCAGGAGTCGGGATAGCAGAATCTATGTTTGCTTGTTGGGGAACATGGGCATGAGTGTATCATGCCTTCCGAATTTGCTGCATGCATTTTATTTTCCAGCATTCAATTGTCCAAAACCCTGCGCTGACCATTTTGCGTTGCCCACGCATGAAACTCAAGAAACATGTGT